TAGTAGAATGTATGGTACTATTAAAATACATAAGCCAGGTTACCCCATAAGACCAATAGTAGATTTCAGAAATACCCCCAATTATGAATTATCAAAACACTTAGCTTTAATACTATGCCCTATCAGAAATCATTCAAACTCTAGACTAACTAATTCATATGAGATGAAAAGTAAACTAAACAACATTCAACTAGAAAATGACGAAACAATGGTCAGTTTTGATATAACTAGTCTTTACACGAATATACCAATCAATATGGCCTTAGAAGCAGTTAAATAGGAACTAACTGCAGATCCTGAACTCACTCATAGGACAAAGCTGTCCATTGAAGAAATTATTTTAGGGATTCAGTTATGCCTCACATCTACCATCTTTAAATTCCAAGGCAAAATCTATAGACAAACAGAAGGTGTAGCCATGGGAACACCAAAATCCCCCTCAACAGTAGCAGATATCTTTATGGACAACTGGGAAAGTATAGCTCTAAATACATTTAATCCTACTCCAAAAATATGCTGGAGATATGTGGAAGACACAGAGCATATCTCTAGCTTCTTGACATATATAAACTCGCTAGTAGAGGGAATAAAATTCACATTTGAATCGGAAAATTAACCGGGAGAATTAACCATGTTAGATTGTAAAATAAAAAGAATAGAAGAAGGGAAACTACACACTAGTGTTTACAAAAAACCAACGCATTCGGCTAATAGATATTTAGACTTTAATTCACCTCATCCGTTATCTGTCTGTGAAGGCATGCCTAGTTAAGTGTCCAACAAACCGAGCCATAGCACTAAGTAGCACAAGAAAAGATCTAAATGAAGAAATAAAACAGATAGAAGAAGCGTTGGTGTCAAATAACTAACTATCCTATAAAATTCATTAGGAAGATCAGAAAAGGCCAAAAGTGAAATAAAAATAATTGTGGAACTAGTAATGATAACATGAATAAGACAGAGAATATAAGTCATCTACAGTTATACCATATAAAGAGGGGACATCTGAGACACTCCCTACTTAGGATTCTCAATAAAGCAGGAACTAGCGTGGCATTCAAACCTACAAACTCACTCAGGTAGGACAAGGTCTGTAGGCTAAAAGACCCGGTGGACCCAGTTAGACAAAATAATATAATTTACAAAATACCTTGCAATGACTATGAGTGAGGTCAACTATATAGGTCAAACTAGTAGGTCGGGTGTGGGTAATCAGATTGTCGGAACATGAGAATTCAGTGGCTAAGGTAAGAATGGTTAACCCCACCCGAGAAGATGAGTAAATTAGAGAAAAGCTCAGCAAGTGCATTGCACTGCATACATTAACACACAACCACACAATAGCATGGTGGGAGGGACAGAGTCAAAATTCTAAAGAGTATTCTATGTAGGTGGAGAGTGAGAGGGAGAGGTTGATTACTGAATCCTGCCTGGTTCATTGAGTCAACACCCAACACAACATATGCAACAGAAATGACTCAATGCAAATATCAGAAATATGCATGGAAGATATTATTACCACCAGTCAGTCAAATGAGAAGAGTATAATAAATAATCTCAAAATTCTATCTCAATTCGGACACTTCACAAAATTCTTACAAGTTACTTATTATGACTATAATAACACTCGTCTTATTTCCCATCTGAATGTAATTGATCAATAACACTCATATTATTATTATTTCTGAATGTACATTATCATCCCATATTTATTTTTATTCCAATATCTGATCGATTCCACACATGTATATAAATGAAGCAAAAAAGTTGTGTGAGTAGTGCGTTGATATGATTATGAGTGGCAATAGTTTGTGCTTGAAACGTGGTCGTATCCGTTAATATTACTGTACAACACTGTGTGATGACCTCATCACCTTTACTCTAAACGGGTCTTCTTTGCTATCAAAACTTGACGTCCTCATAGACTCGCTTAGAGCGCCTGGTCTCTCTATTAATCCTTCTAATAGTAGGACCCGAAACGTAATTGCAGATAAACATCCTAAGATGACTGCCCTTGCTGCAACAATATTCACAGTTGATTGCATGGAAATTCCTGCCATTTCTGTCGCCGAAGAATTTCAATATCTGGGCATTCCATTTAATTACAAGGCGCGCTGCTACCCAAAGCATGTTGGTGTTCTCAATGACTACTTAGCCAATGTAAAGCAGGCCTCACTGAAGCCGCAACAGCCTATCAAGATCTTGAAGAATTACCTTATTCCCAGATTTTTATACTCCTTGACGCGGGGATTAACTCATAAGAATAACCTGAGACACCTAGATCCCATGATTCGACCCACGATGCGGCAATGGCTGCGGCTTCCTAAAGATACTTCAATTGCATATTTCTACAACAAGGTCAAGAAGGGCGGCTTAGGTGTTACTAACTTCTCCACTACAATCCCCAAACTTCTCTGAAAACGAGTTGATTCCCTTCTGAACAACGCGAACCCACCTCTCCGCGATATCGCTACTTCTGATTCCTTCCTTTGCCCCTTTTTCACGCCTGTACAACCTGCCTATTACAGCCCATCGTTAAATCATAACATCCTCGGATCACGTACACGTATGTTGGGTTCGTCTGTTGTATACATCACACGATGGCAAAGAACTTGATAAGGCGGGTGAATCTGGGGAATCACATGACTGGGTTAAAAACCCAGAGAAAATATTCCCACGTCTATCTTTACATCAGGGCAATTCAACTGCGGGGTCGATTGAGTACCAAGGTTAGAAGACCTCGCGGGAACGTCTCACAGATAATCTGAACTGCTGAGGTAGCTGTGGACATCATCATGAAAGCATCCGACATATCCTCCAACAATGTTCTGTCACACATAATGTCCGGCGCAGAAGATACAACGACATTTGCCAATTAATTACTGGAAAGCTCCATAAATTCAAGACAATATGTTATCTTGAACCTTGTATCCCACCCTACTGAACTCTCCTTTTGTAATCCTGATCTTATTATTCTAAGAGAGATGGGGAAGCCTATGCCTAAGATGTTACTGTATGTGTTGATACCAAACATTGAGCGAAACCATATCTCTACTTTATCAATATTGTTTCATTGTCTGCCTAGCTGACTGATAGGCTAACAAATGTACGCGGTTCTCAGGATCATCGCTGTAAGTGTAGTGTAGTGGTGAGAAGTCAAGTACTCGTCTAATTTTCCTCACTGTTTCACTTAGTGCATTAATAATTCAGTGGACAGTGTTATTATACACATGGATTGTGTTCATTATGAGAACTGAATCTAGTCAGCTCTGTTATTATTATTCGGTCGGTCGCTTTTCGACATAGAACTTTGCACATATGTGCGGCAGTTCAAGTCGCCACACTCCATGTAGCACATAAAGCAAGAGAAGAAATGCATAATATAGACAGTAAACAGAGGTGTGAGACAAAGGAATAGTAATAACGGAGAACAAAACAGTTTAATTGGAAATCATAAGTATACTGTCTGTTATACCATTCCCACTGACACCGTATACTTAATGCTGAACTTAATGTGAACTACAAATACATTTACTTGCATGAGAATTTCACTTAGTATTAACAGAATCAGTGTATTCATAGTGTATTCTAGTATGTAAAATTATCTTTTATAACCTCATGTTGTGCTAGTCCTTACATGTGCTTTATTTTTTCAGGTATACGGAGGTTGTCGAATATGAAATCAGAGGAAATATCATTCGGTCAAACTAACAACGCTCACACGCATCATCAGAATTTTCTTTTGTGAACCAATGAAATGTTTAATATACTCTTCATTTCTACTTCCTCTAGACTTTTTTCACTGCGTCGCTATGTGCTATTGTAATAAGTGAATTCGGATTAATTAATTAATGCATGTTAAGCTTAGTTAGTGGATGGATGGATAGATTTCGCATCTGTTTCTATACAATAGAGCACGTCGAAAAAGATCAATAGGATTCAGCAAGTTCAATAGTTAATAATGTACTGTGGATATGCTAAAGTCGCCTTATCTAGCCAGCCAGTTGCAAGTCTGTATACTGTTAAACGCCAGGTAAATGTAGTCACTTAGGCTTGATAGCTACTTCACTAATCTATTCATATGCAGTGATATCATCATCAGAGAGACTGTTTACTTGGCGATGAGCTAAGAAGCAATTTTTATTTATTTCCAATATGCCGTCGAATCATGTGATGTTGTCGTCTAATATCCGTCATTTCTATATAGATCAACAACTGCAGTGTTTGCATACCTACTTTAGGGATATCAAGTAACTTACGCCTTTATGCATCTAATTAAAAAAAAAAATAACAAACTTTAACGTCGCCACTTTATTATGCCGTTTGACCTGTTCTTTTTGCTTTAAAAAAAAAAGATAGTAGCGTGTTTCACAGAACTCATCACACAACGACGTATCACCCATAAAAAGCTATTATCCATAGGGTTAGACGAGCGATGTTAATAATCCGAGGCAAAGCGACTATGGTACTATTGGTACTCAGTCACAAAACATACTACTACTTTGCCATCTATTCGTCTAATCAATCGTGTCAACAAATGTTTCGCCAAGCAAAAAGAAGACCACTGGTTCAAGGAAAATTTATTTAAAGTTTTTTGTTAAAGATCATAGACATCCCGTAATTATACCCCCACCCCCATCGAGAAATTACAAAAATCATTCGAAAAGTAAGAATTCGATTATTTGAATTGAAAAAAAACAACAGGCGATTTGTATTCAGACAATGTTTTCATCACCCCCGTAATAATAATAATAATCAGCTTCCCACTACCAATTGTAGACCACAATCCAAATCGTTAGCCTTGCTAATTAATTAAAGTCTTGTCTTTATAACTGGGATAGTTCGTCCACTCACCAGATCATTCATTGTATGCTATCTGCTTTTTAAATCGGTTTGCAACATATTGAATGGCTGGCAACATTGGCTTTACTACAGACAGTTCTAGTTCATCTATGTACATCTACTCCACTAGGCATTAACAACCACCACAGGCAACTTACCCTTTTATAAGACGGATATGTGATTACCTTCCGATTTCCTTGTTTCCATAAAAATAGATGCAAACACCACACATACTCATACTTCACATGTGTGTGTGGCTCGTCCTTGTTTAACTTAGATTCTCCTCTCACAAAATATCCGGTGTCTGTGTTTACTGAACAAAATAGACACACTGATTGATTGATGGTATACTCACTCACTCACCTTCTCGAAAAGCTTCAAAGCTTTTCCAACAACTTCAAACTCAGGCTCTTAATATTCTCCAGGTTTAATATGTTCTTCGATAACCTTGCGCTAATATCAACCAACTCTGATCGTGTTGTCTTCACACCAGATTGACTCGTAGATGATTGTTGCATCTCCCCAAAAATATGAAAGTGAAAGACATTGTTTTTTCATTGTTTTCTACATAATAAGCAACCAACCAAATGGGACAGCAACAATAACACACACCAACCAACACAAATGAACTAGAGACAACACCACCTTCTGCCATCCAAACATACATCTTCATGTGTATAATTTCCAAAACTTCTACACACCACTGTTTCATTCAATAAACAGCTGAAAAACAAATAAAACACAACACTGTAACGACGAATAAATGTGCAATGTGTGAAACAATAAAATATTCGAAACAAACGAGATAACTAGTTTTATCAGCTAGGGATACAAAAATGAGGTGAAACGCAACATTTCTGAACAATGCGCATCAAGATAAGTTGTGAATAACTGCAGGATAAAAGTAAAAGCCCAAGTGTAAACGAACGGTTAGGCAACGACAATCCCACATGGACGACTTAAAATGGACGAACATGATCCTCAGGTGTCTAACTCTTGCGATGACCTTGAGGGAGTGGGATAATTTCATTCCTCTGAATGTCGAACAGTTGACAGATCACCGTTGACTGTCCTCGCTTCTCGAGATCGCAGACTGCACCCTCCAGTCACGTCAGCAATGTCAAGACAACATATATCACAACTCTTGGCCTCCGCCAGGGATCCAGTCGACGCTTCTGCTTCCTCGTCGCCCCTACTTCATCCACTATTTCTTCACCTCCACGCGTCTCCCTTCATCTAGTACATGCTATTACCCAAGTTCAGTTTCAAACAATAAGTCCACATCTTGATCAATAGCACTTCTATTCGCCAATAAAATGTGCTGCAGATGCCGGTGCATATCACTTAATGTGACGTGGACCCGTTCTGAAGACCAGCTCCTCAGATATTTCCTAACAGCTATGTCTATATGTGCGATTGATGTGGTTCTGACCATCCCAAACTGACACTTGTAGTGCAGTCTTGGCATTGCGTAATCTTTAAGTGTATCAGTCTTTCATATGGTGTCCATTTCCTTTAGTATGGTATTAGTAATCACATTCATGTCGGAAACATTATTGCCCTTGGTATTGTAGCGAATACCAAGGTATTTAAATGCATCGAGGTTTACTCATCAGTGCCTTTATAGGCCAAGTAAAACTTTAAGCACCAGTAACTACCAATCAGCGAACGACGTCGAATTATCTAATGAGATTCACGAACGTAGTTCAATATTGTATAGCACTTGATTCATTTCCAATGCGCGCCCTTACAAGGTTACGTTTGCAATTCGAGGAGGATAGTGTCTTTCAGTATTGCCTGGATTTAGGCTTGCTTCGAAAGGAGAGAAGAGTTGTTCGTGTGGTGGTGTCATAACTGTAAAGGGCTATACCAGGTCAACTGATGGATTTGCCCATCGTTGTGCAATATGCTTGAAGCGAGTTAGCATTAGAGAGGGTAAGTTGATAATTTTAATATTTCGTAGGAACTTTCTTTGCAAGGTCACACCTCTCGTTGACGCAAATTTTATATATCTGCAACTACTGGGTATTGAAAGAGCCAGTGAGAGCTGCAGCTGCCGAGACGGAGAACAGCCTCGTCTCAACAGTTCAATGGCACCAGCATTGTAGAGATATTGCATCTTGGAAAATGGAGAAGATTACTTGGTTGTTGCGCGGGGACGACGTTGTAGTGCACGTGGATGAGACTGTGTTGCTGAAGAAGAAATACAACCGTGGTCGCCAGCGAGCGAATAATATCTGGGTTATAGGTTTATACGATACTTCCCTCCGAAAGGGATTCGCTGAAAGAATAGGAGATAGAAAGGCGACTACGTTAATACCTATTATAACGAGACTTGTCAAACGGGAGTCAATTATACACACGGACGAGTGGAAAGGTTATAATTCGCTGTCTGGCCAAACGCTATAGTTAAGCAGGTGTACTATGACCAAGATGGCCGCGTCAAGACGGTGCGGGTGAAAACTACAACTCAAGAAGTCGAACGAGATATAAGAAGCTTATGTTTGTTGGAAGAAGCAGACAACTTGAAGGTTCCAGGTACGAGAAGTCAACGTGGTGATCGTTCGTGGGGAGTGTTAATCGCGACAGATAGATAGACTATATGATAGACAGCTAATCAATATGATGTGACCTTCTTGTCGCGATTATTGGTTAATTTAATGTAACTCACACCACGTGATGTGACCTTGAGTGTTCTTTGTTGTGTGTCACTTTATTTGTGTGTACATGTAATTAATTAACTGTTCATTTGTTCGTTCCCTCAATACTGTTCGGTACGTTTTTGTCCTTTTTTGAATGACAGTGGATTTGTATATTTTTCTTGGTGTAATTGTATGATTTATTTTATGTTTTAGAAACAGATAAAGTTTAAGTCAAGTCATTCTGTTTTTAACTATAGTTAAGCCGAGACTCTGTGTCGTCAGTATTGAGGAAGGACTAAATCTGTAGGCAAAACTAATCCTACAAGGACATAACTCGGAATGACGTTAAAAATCTGAAAGCCGCAGTTAATAAAGGTAACGTTGACGTAATTGTTAATTACTTAAGGTATGTCGAGCCGTAGTGACATTTTTCAATTCCTGAAATCCCGTGGGAAGTTAATGGAGTATCATTCAGATGAACCGATCAGGAATTCAATTCACTAACAAGTCTGTTTTTCAACTTATGAGCAAATTGAGTTGCATAAACAGTTCCCGGAGGTTGTTGGTATCGACTCTACATATAATACAAATAAAGGGAAGTAAGTTTACCAATTCATCAGTCAACATGCAGGTATTCTTTGTTCCAATTAGTTGTGACTGATAATTTTGGTCGTGGGAGACCAGCTTTATTTGCTTGGACTCGAAAGGAATTCAAACGTGATGTAGTTTGGACTCATTTCGTGAAATAATGGAAGATACTTCTAAAACGGAGACTTTCATTATGGACTGTGCGCAATCTGAATTGCAGCAGTGAAGTTAACGCACAGGGAAGCGCACATTGTTCTGTGTTCTTTCCATGTTTGTCGAGCATTCTGTCGTAAAGTAAGTTTTTTAAAACATAATCAAAATTGCAATTGCAGACACGGCGGAATCCTATTGTGAAGAACGAACTACTTATGCCGCTTAGTTCAGTGTAAAAGGAGATCAGAGTAATGCCTTTAATATTCTCATTTTCCAGATTTAATTTCTATTTCAGAGTTATAAGCAGATTGAATGTTAGTGTCAGTCAGTATTTACAACGTCGTTGGATGAGTCGACAAGAATTGTGGGCAGCATCTTTCAGAGAGCATGTGCAGACTTTTGGTAATGATTATTGGTGTCATTACCAAATCATTACCAAAAGTCTGCACATGCTCTCTGAAAGATGCTGCCCACAATTCTTGTCGACTCATCCAACGACGTTGTAAATACTGACTGACACTAACATTCAATCTGCTTATAACTCTGAAATAGAAATTAAATCTGGAAAATGAGAATATTAAAGGCATTACTCTGATCTCCTTTTACACTGAACTAAGCGGCATAAGTAGTTCGTTCTTCACAATAGGATTCCGCCGTGTCTGCAATTGCAATTTTGATTATGTTTTAAAAAACTTACTTTACGACAGAATGCTCGACAAACATGGAAAGAACACAGAACAATGTGCGCTTCCCTGTGCGTTAACTTCACTGCTGCAATTCAGATTGCGCACAGTCCATAATGAAAGTCTCCGTTTTAGAAGTATCTTCCATTATTTCACGAAATGAGTCCAAACTACATCACGTTTGAATTCCTTTCGAGTCCAAGCAAATAAAGCTGGTCTCCCACGACCAAAATTATCAGTCACAACTAATTGGAACAAAGAATACCTGCATGTTGACTGATGAATTGGTAAACTTACTTCCCTTTATTTGTATTATATGTAGTGTAGAGTCGATACCAACAACCTCCGGGAACTGTTTATGCAACTCAATTTGCTCATAAGTTGAAAAACAGACTTGTTAGTGAATTGAATTCCTGATCGGTTCATCTGAATGATACTCCATTAACTTCCCACGGGATTTCAGGAATTGAAAAATGTCACTACGGCTCGACATACCTTAAGTAATTAACAATTACGTCAACGTTACCTTTATTAACTGCGGCTTTCAGATTTTTAACGTCATTCCGAGTTATGTCCTTGTAGGATTAGTTTTGCCTACAGATTTAGTCCTTCCTCAATACTGACGACACAGAGTCTCGGCTTAACTATAGTTAAAAACAGAATGACTTGACTTAAACTTTATCTGTTTCTAAAACATAAAATAAATCATACAATTACACCAAGAAAAATATACAAATCCACTGTCATTCAAAAAAGGACAAAAACGTACCGAACAGTATTGAGGGAACGGACAAATGAACAGTTAATTAATTACATGTACACACAAATAAAGTGACAGACAACAAAGAACACTCAAGGTCACATCACGTGGTGTGAGTTACATTAAATTAACCAATAATCGCGACAAGAAGGTCACATCATATTGATTAGCTGTCTATCATATAGTCTATCTATCTGTCGCGATTAACACTCCCCACGAACGATCACCACGTTGACTTCTCGTACCTGGAACCTTCAAGTTGTCTGCTTCTTCCAACAAACATAAGCTTCTTATATCTCGTTCGACTTCTTGAGTTGTAGTTTTCACCCGCACCGTCTTGACGCGGCCATCTTGGTCATAGTACACCTGCTTAACTATAGCGTTTGGCCAGACAGCGAATTATAACCTTTCCACTCGTCCGTGTGTATAATTGCTCCCGTTTGACAAGTCTCGTTATAATAGGTATTAACGTAGTCGCCTTTCTATC